AAAATATATAAGACAGTGTAGCATTGTCCAGATTCACACGAATGCATATGAACCAATGAAAAATCATAGAGCAGAACAAAATACTGGTAATATTTCTGTTAGCCAGGAGAGAAAAATATTTACTATTCTTTTGCCAAAACCAGAAGTAACTAACTCCAAAAAAGGGATATTAATTCCCACCCTTATTGAATTGAGCTGAATCAAAATGATTATGTTTTGTTTGATCAATAATTGCTTTTCTCCATGTTGGGTTTTGGGAAATCAACTGAGTTACATATTCCTAGTGGTAATGTGGTAATGTGGACAACTGTAGGATCTTCTGACAACTGCAGGGACACATAGAATATAGCCACCAAACAGCTTTGTAGTTATTAAAAATATAGCAGTAATAATAACCACTATCTTAACTATAGATTTATATGCATTTTTGAATCATCAGTATGAACTTCCAAGCTGGGTTATGTTCTCTGATCCTCAATTTCTTAATCTGTATAATGAAGAGGGGACTGGCATGGAAGGAACTCCCTTCCCCAGCTGAGATAAGGCTTTGGCATAGTCTTTCCCTGGAGGTTCTTTGTGTATTTCATAATCATGACCCCCACTTCTCCATACCAGGGCTATCAGGCTATCTTTCTTCAGTCCTAACCTTGAAAAAAAATATGTTGGTGTCCCTAAAGGTAAAGCAGATAAAGGAAATAGATGGTAGACACACATAGATGATAGAGAGACATACATGATAGAGAGACATAGATGATGGATTGATAGATTAGATAGGTAGATAGATTAGATAGAGATAGAGATAGAGATAAAAAGTTTCACAACTCAAAAATAAGAACAAATTTTAAGTGGAAAAAGATTAGTTCAAACTCCACCAAGTGAGTGGCAAATAAACACATGGACAGATTCTCAAAGCATTAGTCATTAGGAAAATATAAATCAAAATCATTTAAGATACTTCTACATACTTAAGAAAATAACTTAAAAAAAAACCTGACAATAACAAGTGCTAACAAGGATGCAGAACACCTGGAATTCTCATCTATGACTAGGTGGGATGCAATGTGAGATATTCACTTTGAAAAATAGTTTGGCAGTTTGGCATAAAGTTAAATGTGCACTTATCAGAGACCCAACAATCTCACTTTTCAGTATTTACCAGAGCAACGAAAATACATGTCCATGCAAAGATTTGCACGTGGATGTTCATGACAGCTTATTCATAATACCTCAAACTGTAAACATCCCAAATATCCATAAGCTTAGAAATAGTTTAATAAACTGGGGCACATCTACATGATGAACTCAACAATTAAAAGGAATACAAAAATGTGGATGTCTCCAGAGCATTCTACTAAGGCTACATGACTGTGAGATTCCATCTACATGGCATTCCATTAAAGGAAGATCTCTAGGATCAGAAATCAGATTAGTGGTTGCCAGGAACTAGGGGTAGAAGGAAGGCATTGGCTACAATGAGCCGTAAGAGTACTTTTTGGAATGATGGATGGAGTCTCCATTTTGTTTTAGTGCTTATATGACTGTATTGTTTTTCAAAGTTCATTGAGCTGTACACCTGGAGAGCAGGATGTAGGTTATACTCCATCAAACCTGTCTTTAGAAAATTTTCAAAAGAGGGGTGCCTGGGTGGCTCAGTCGTTAAGCGTCTGCCTTCGGCTCAGGTCATGATCCCAGGGTCCTGGGATCGAGCCCTGCATCAGGCTCCCTGCTCAGCAGGAAGCCTGCTTCTCCCTCTCTCTCTGCCCCTGCTTGTGTTCCCTCTCTCGATGTCTCTCTCTGTCAAATAAATAAATAAAATATTAAAAAAAATTTTTCAAAAGAATCAGATGAAAACTAGAGAACAAAACTGTCCCTAATGTTGAAAAATACCTACAAATAATTGAATTATCTGTCAATTGAGAATCTAGGAAGTAAGTAGCACTTGTGGACTATACATGTGTGTTTGGGAGAGCACCCCTGTGAGATTAAAAAAGGGCGGGAAACAGTAATAAGATGGTGGAAAAAGAAAGCAGTAGTAGATTGATAGGCTCCTGAAATGTAGAAAAATGTCAATATCACTAATCATTAATGTTTCTATACTTAATATCATTGAAGTACATTTAACAAATATCAGATTAATGGCTGACATAATTTTTGCATAGATCTTTTGCTTCAAGTTCACAACTTAACTCTACCATTAATGGAAATACAACATATAAGCTTTGAAAAATATATTGCAATAAGCAAGTTTTCAAAAAAAATTAAAATATATAAGTAACTTATTAAAAATAGATAAACATGCTGTGAAACTTATCAAATCCATTAAAATATTTGATAAGAGGTTAAAAGATCGGTTGTCTATTAGGGAAAAAAGAAAGACGTGAATTTATGAAAAAATTAGTTGGTTTGGAGGAAAGATTTTGTCTGACATAATCTGAATCTCCAGTTAAGCTCAATGTGAGTAAGAATCTGAAACAAATATTAAGTGTAGCTGATACACTAAATTCTGCATACCTGGGTTCTAATAGATTGGAAATACTAGAATATAACAAGAAGTGCTGCTCTAGTATTTTTTTTTCTCAGAATAAGGAAATATAGAAAACCATACAAAATTACCCATACCAGACCCCTAACTGTAGCAATTCAGATAAGATTTTGAACTTGGGAGGGATTATCTAAACCAAACGTGTGAGCTACTGAGGATCACCTGCTACTACACTGTTTCTATTTCCTGCTAATCAGAAAGATTTTTCTCCTCAGCAATTTCATTTAGCCAACCACTGCTGACTCAGGACTATACTTCTTGCTACCCAGAAAAGTGTATTAGATGCCTATACATTTTGATATTTAATCAAACAAATGCATTTTATTCAGTATACTCTCTTTTGCCCCAAGAAATGTGATGAGATCCTAAATAGTTATAGACAATCAGCACAGCAAAATTTCCATGTTACATGATATATGATTTCTCACAAGCTAAAGGTTTGGTTTCATTTATTCCATCTTTTCCTGAAAGTTTTATCTTAGATGTGAGGAGTCAATTATCATAAAATTGGAAGAAAAATAATCTGCTAAACCCAACAAGAAAAACTACCATCCTAGAGAAAAATTCTAACTTGTTCTATATCCATCTGAGATGCGTTTTTGGAAAATATTGTTCTGCAAACAGTTCCCTTTAGTTCTTAGCAAGAGCCAGAATACCAGGACACTAAAATGAATTCTTAGCTTATTTGATTCATTGCCTCAAATCTCTCCCTCTCTCTCTCTCTCTCTCTCTATATATATATATATAAAATTTAACTACCCACAACTCCATGCTCAATAAAAATAATAATGATGATATAACTAATAAGGCCAAAGTTTATTCTTTATCTCTTTATATACTAATTGGAATTAATAATTAGTGGGCATTGCTATTAGATGCTGTCTAATTGGCAATGCTGATACTATATACTACAAATGAAGCATAGAAATCACTTCATTGCTTGGTTCAGAGAGACAGCAGTTGGGTTAGAATTAGTTACAGTATTTTAATGTGGCTACCCACTTCAACTTTACTTATCAGCTTTATAGTAGTGACAATTCAATTTTCTTAGTAGGCTGAGGAGTGACTGGACTCCAGGGTACTGAGTTATGGTAAACAAATGCACAATAGACTAATGGATAAAATCAGAAAGTCAATTTGTTAATTCCCATAAAGACTTGTAACTATCAAATAGAATTAGAATATTCTCTCTCAGTGAACACATTTACATACGAAGCTTTAATTGGAGGGTTATTGCCTGGAGATCATGGGATTAAAACTAGAGGAGTTAGCTATTTGATTGTAATGGCTGGTGTCACACAATTTGATATTCTCGTGCCTCTCTATTGACACTTAGTTTCAAGAACCTGGGTACCCTCTCTTCTGCCCTGCTGAGATTGCAGAACACAAAGGTTGCTTCTCTAACTTTTTCTCTTGACTTTTCAGGCTACCAACATCCTCAATGACAGATTTTCTTTAGGTGTGTTAATACCAAGACTCAGGTTCCCATCCCACCTGAAAAACATCTGGTTCTTTGAAAGTAACTAATTTAGATACCAGTCCTCAATTCCTTTTCTTACAAGGCACCTCATTTAATGAGCCCTCAAGAACTTTGAGTAGCTGACTAATGAGACAGCATATACTATTTTATGTTCTGTTTCTATATATCAGAAGGTTCTGGAAAATTCAAATCCACTGCTTCAATTCTCTTGTTTCCCTTCCATTTTGAATCTTACTTAAAAAATGAAAATGCTCCCTTGATGCCATACAGGAAAAAAATAGCTATGTGGATTGCCAAATACATATTTAAAAATTTTCATGCTTTCTGATAATCAAGATGTTGTTAGCAATAAATTTATCTCTTATGTGCTAAACTGGTCTATAAAGGTAACAAATCCTCATTAGGGGGCAAAGACCAGTCAGAATAATCAAGGAGTGGACACATGAGGTCATTTGAAGGGAAGTTCCACAAATTTTTCCCAGGTATATACGATAAGACACAAAGTAGAAATCTTCCTGAGCTTTGATGATGCAATGTTGTTTGAACATGGTAGGTGTTTGATAAGTGTTCATTGAAATGATTTCTAGTTAACACAATTATTTGGCCACATAAAATTAAATAAATGTTTGTCTTTAAAAATAATGGGCAAGTAGGCTGCTTTATGTTAAAGCCATTTTTAAAGTAGCAAATGTGTAGATTCTGTACTGTGATACTACTCTTAGAATTTCTCAAAGATTCTTAAAATCATATCATATTTGGTTAATTACTCTAAACTGAAGTTTTCTCAAAAGTTAGGTGGAAAATTCTATAGCCTGGCTATTCCATGACTGGTCATTTGTCTGCCTTAGTTGCGTGAGCAATTATCTCAGAGATAAAGTTCTCTTATCTAAAAACACAGTGAGGGGTGCATATCAGAAGAGCTCTGCCTTAGGTACAGAAGCTCCTTGGCAATGTGACATCTCAAAAATATTAACCACAATGGCTTGTCAATTCTTCCGCCTTTTCCAGGGTGCATCTGAAGTGATTGTAAATGGACTATTTATTTCTGGCGATCTCCCCCAGGAAACACTTTCTTTTCTCCAGTGAAAGCCATTGCACTAGGATTACAAAAAATTAGTTGAGGTCTTTTTTTTTTTTTAAAGATTTTATTTATTTATTTGAGACAGAGAGAATGAGAGAGAGAGAGAGAGCGCACATGAGAAGGGGGAGGGTCAGAGGGAGAAGCAGACTCCCCGCCCAGCAGGGAGCCTGATGCGGGACTCGATCCAGCGACTCCAGGATCATGACCTGAGCCTAAGGCAGTTGCTTAACCAACTGAGCCACCCAGGCGCCCAGTTGAGGTCTTTACTTGGATTTTTTTTTATTTTTTTAAAGATTTTATTTATTTATTTGACAGAGAGAGAGAGCACAAGTAGGTAGAGTGGCAGGCAGAGGGAGAGGGAGAAGGAGGCTCTCTGCTGAGTAGGGAGCCCAATGTAGGGCTCAATCCCAGGACCCTGGGATCATGACCTGAGCCAAAGGCAGCCACTTTACCGACTGAGCCACCCAGGTGCCCCTTTACTTGGAATTTTAAAAAAGAACTTTTCAGAAATGTGGAATTGTATTTATGGCATTTTGTCTTCAGATATTATAAAATGAACTCTAAAGGAATTAAAATTTATTAACTGGCTTGCTATCTATCTACTACTATGCTAAGCATTCTATATGCATCTCATTTAATTCTCACTACAAGCCAATGAGGCAAATGCCACTGTTACTGTTTTATAGGATATGACACTTAGAGATGCACCAGCACGCTCAGGCCCCCACAGTTAGAAACAGATGAACCGAGAAATAAACCCAGACAATCTGAGGCCAGAGATCATATTCTTAACCATGAAAATATACCACCTTTTGGTGTATAACAAATTGTTTCAAGTCCCATTTTCCAACAAGACTGGAAAACCCAACTGAAGATTCTATCCTTAGGGGATGCCGAAGTTCTGATTCTGGAGACTTAAAATTATACTGTTTTACCAATACACAGTAGAAATTTGATTCTCAAAGGCAACCTGTTATTTCACACAACAGGTTCAATAAAGTAATTTATTTGTCCTTATGGGTTAGACGGACAGAACTGAAGGTGTCAAGCTGAGTTAATAGAAGACCAGATTTTGGTTGGCACAAATCCCACCAGCCAGCAGGAGAAATGGGGAAATTACAGGTTCCATGGGAACATTAGCCCCAGAATAAGTGAATAGAATCTCTTAGACTTGGGGAAATCTCTGTCATAAATGAATTTAGGGAAATCTATGTTTTTTCATTTCCAGGAAATATCCAATACAAGTAGTTATCTCAGAATGAAAATATATATATATCAGAAAATAAACAATCAAGGAAAAATATATATTGTTTAACACAATCCTCATTGAGAAAATACTGCCCATTACTCCTTCCACGAAGATGGTGCTGAAGGCTAAGAAGGAAGCCCCTGCCCCTCCCAAAGCCAAAACCAAAGCAAAGTTTTGAAGGCCAAGAAAGCAGTGCTGAAAGGTATCCAGTCACAAAAAACAAAAGAAGATCCGCATGCCACCTACATTCTGATAATCTAAGACACTGCGTCTCCAAAGGCAGCCCAAATATCATCGAAAGAGCACCCCCAGAAGAAACAAGCTGACCACTATGCCATCATCAAGTTCCCCCCTGACTACTGCATCAGCCATGAAGAAAATAGAAGACAAAAACACACTTGTGTTCATTGTGGATGTCAAGGCCAACAAGCACCAGATGAAACAGGCTGTGAAAAAGCTCTACAACATTGATGTGGCCAAGGTTAACACCTTGATCAGGCCTAATGGAGAGAAGAAGGCATATGTTCGACTGGCTTCTGACTATGATGCTTTGGATGTTGCCAACAAAATTGGGATCATCTAAATTGAGTCCAGCTAGGTAAATCTAAATAGAAATATTTTCACCATTAAAAAAAAAAAAAGAAAAAAACTGCCAATTAAATCTAGAAGAATGAATGATCTCCTAAGGCCAGTCATTTCTTACTAAACGCCATTTGGGTAGAAGAGATCCAGAGAGTTTAATTTAGATTTCCCTCTGCCACAAATCCATAAATATAAAATTTACCTGAAACTCTGGTATTACCAAAAAAATGGCAGAGATGTTTGCGTAAAACTATTGAGGAAACAATTAGTGTCTTCTCCCAAACTAATGTTCTCTACCCATCACTAAATGAACATTCTTTGATGATCTCATACACTCCGAACATCTTGCTATTAAAATTTTGAGTATGTTTCATAAGGGCAGTTTCAGCCCTAAGGCAATCACTGAGGATTCTTACCCTCTCGTCTGACCACACACCTGGAATGGAGGGAACTGGGTGCACAGGTGAAGATGCTCACCATGCAACCATTTCCTGGATTTCTGTCTGTGCCAACTCCTCCTTCTACTGCTTCTCCTGCCACCTCTCAGTACAGCTGAACTTTAAGAGGCCCAGGAGAAAGAAGAAATAAGACTTTAAATAATTTATTTGGAGAAACAGTCAGTGAAGAGGAACAAATCATGTTTCGCTAAAAGAACCGGGACCTTTGACACTTCCCTTCTCGCTCCAGTACCTGGAGCTCTAGCCGGATTGCATTAGTGAAATTTTCATTTGATGGCATTTTAATATTCTGCCTTGATGACTTTTTAGCAACATTTACTTTCAGAGGTCTCGAGTGTTCCCTCGGAGGAAATGAAACATGTCAGAGCCCATTACAAAAATCAAAATTTAAATACCTCGACCACATTAGGGCTTACACACAATCCCATCAGCGCTTAAGCTGAAACTCACAACTATTCATTCTCTTGCTCAATCAGTAATGAGTACATTTGATGAAGCATTCCAGGGTCAGGGAACACACGTTAGTGATCTAACTTAACCCATTGATTGCCTGGCCACAAAGGACCAGGGCAGGACTTGATTAAATTGTAGCACGCAAATAATTTCCAACAGCACCAAAAGAAACTGTTTTTTTTTTTTCTTTTTTAAACAGTTGCAATTCCCATAAGTAATGGCCAAGGGATGTTGATAAGTTAGTTGTACATTAGGTTTAGTGTTCTTTTGGTGTTACTCTATGTCTACATGTCCTATAAAACAACCTGCTTAGTTTTCATCCAACTATAGCCACAGTTACTCTGTTATTAAGAACTGTCGTAGTCTATACCGGGAGGGTCACTGAATGCATGAATCTTGTTTGTGCAATACCTTACTCTTCTTTTACTCCCCTGACTTCCTCAAGAATTTCAACGTATCCCTGGCAAAGAAGAATCCCCAAGATGTGATTTGGCTGTCTAGAGCATATTATATTCTAGCTGGCAACATGGGGCTGGCCCCAGAGTCTCTTGGATATTGATCTTATATGCAAAAGCAATGCAAATCACACATATTGCTGTTTGACATCGCAGTAAGAGTTTCAAAAATCCAACGCAGTCCACAGATAATTGCCAATTTTTAATATAGGAAAGCTTCTCTTCCTGTTCCTCCTCTTCCGCCCACCCAAACTTAGTGACTTTCGTAATCAAGTAGGGAAATATACCACTTGGTCATAGCGCTGTAGTGCTGTGAACTTTGGCTAAACTTACTGCCACTCCTCGAGTTCAGCGTATAGGCGATAGGTTAATGTTGGTGCTTCAGCTCTTCCTTGGGATTTCAGACAGTTAATTAATGATCCCGGCCTTGGCTTTCTCCTTAAAGGGAATTAAGGAATCTCCCTTTCAAGAGATAATTGAAAGTGGCAAGGAGTCTGATGGAAAATTGTGATATGATCCTGCCTGGACAGACTTTTTTTCTGACCTCCTAGATCATGTTCTTAAATTCCCCATAAAGCACCTGTAGTACTCTGGTGAATGGCCTGGAACAAGGATGTGAAAACCTGAGACCAGAGCATTTCTGTGCTCTCCTTAGGGGATGCCACTCTCCTCTTCTCATGGTTCAGTGCAACTGGATGTCACTCACCGACATTTTTCATCGTGAGGGTTAGTGGGGACAACTGTACAATTCTCAATGTCTTCTAAGATTTACGTAACGTTTCTCATGTACATTGAAGAGGTCTCACGTGAGATAAGAAATGCATTCAAATTCCAAGCTAAAGGCAATGTTTGTTACTTTTCCTTGTCCCGTTGCTTACCAGTTGCCAGAGGTGTGCCATATAACTACTATTTGGAAAGGAAAACCATCATGGAACAGTAAAAGGCATTAAGCAAATCCAGGATGCCTAGCAGAAAGCTAGGAAAGTGAAAGAAAGTGCATTTCAACAATAATCTAAAAGGAGGTAGCCAAGGGGCCCCTGGGTGGCTCAGCCATTAAGCGTCTGCCTTTGGCTCAGGTCATGATCCCAGGGTCCCGGGATTGAGCCCCACATCGGGCTCCCTGCTCAGAAGGAAGCCTGTTTCTCCCTCTCCCACTCCCCCTGCTTGTGTCCCCTCTCTCACCATGTGTGTCTCAAATAAATAAATAAAATCTTTAAAAATAAACAAATAAATAAAATAAAATAAAAGGAGGTAGCCAAGGTGAATTCCTCACATGTTGCCCACTGGTAAAATCACTGAAGAATTTCCTTCGATTCATCCTTTCCCAGTACCAGGAAGCCAATGGTACTCAGCCACACAGTTTCTCGCCCTTCCAATCTCTGAGCTGGGAAAAGATCTACTTGAAAATTTTCAGTTAAGAATGTTTGATGGAGAGAGGAAGCCATGAAGCATTCCTAATGCCACCACTAATGCACAGTAGTCCAAATCTTAACTTAATTTCTCATAGAAGCTTAGAAATGAAAGAAACAACCATTCTCTCTTTCAACCCTGTTCCCCTTCTCAGATCTGAAAAAAAAAAAAAGTTGTCACAGAAACACCAAGGTTTTGGAAAAATCTTGAACCCTTTACATATATCTATTCGTAATTTTAATAATGGTAGGCATGAGCAACCATACTTAATTCATTCTAGCTCACTCTCTTGCCTTTAATTACACATCTGACACTCACTCACACACACACACACACACACACACATACACTGCAATTCCAACTGAAGAACCATATTATACATAGCTTGAATCTCTGCTACTTCTTTTCTGTTTAGTCAAAATTAGAAAATGTCTTAAATATTTTACCGTCTAGGTCTTAGGTAAAGACTGTTAAATTTATATAATTCCTTTTGTGAAAAATTAAATGACAAACTTATGTTGCATATTTAAGCTTCTTAAAAACTCTCTACAGATGAATGAACCTTACCCTTCACCCTGAAGCCAATCCCAACTTCTCTCTGTCCAGCCAGAAGCTCATTGTCATCTTGACTGACACCTTACCTTCTTTTGTGCTCTGTTATCTTTCTGTGCTGGCAGCCAGAGGGGTGGAGATTTACATGGGGTCTAGAACTGTGATTTGGACTTCCTTATCCATTCTTGGGAATAAGTAAAACTGAGGAAAAGGGATGAGGTTTGCGTGAAGAGTGTTTCTTAAACTCTGTTCCTTGTTTTCATTGTCAGTAAATTTGGGAAGAGGAATACTGTTTTGAGGACTGAGTGGTACCACATGGGTACAGCCTCCAGTCAAGTGTTTAGCTGTCTCCCAAGTGCCATCATCATGGTCATCATCAGGAACATTAGCATCATTGTTATTATTATTATTTTTCCTGTTGCAATCTTTCTCTTAAGTCCTCATGGAGTTCCATGATTCTTTCCCTTTGGTGCTCCATGGACTCCCTTCGACTCTGTTTTGAGCATGGCTTTGGTCTCACTGGCTTTCCATTTTTATTAGCACTTCCTCTCACACTCCTATTTTAACCTAAGAAATAACACAATGGTAAGAACTTTCAGCAATGATCTTTCCAGTGCAACACATAGTTTACCAAGGCATTAGCTATAAGCCAAAGGGATAGAGTTTAGACAGTGGAACATGAAATAACAGCTGGCCAGGAAAGAGTTCAAACATATAGGGTATTTGGAGCTTTCTCTGAAAGGAAATGATGATGGTCTTCTCCAGGATACCATGATATTAGTTATAAGCTTGAGAAACTTATGGTGAGGTGGAGGGAGGGGTAGGAAGAAAGGGAGAGAGAGAGGGAAGGAAAGGGAGGGAGGGAAGAAGGAAGGAAGGAGAGAAGTGGGAGGGAGAGAGGGAGAAGGAGAGAGAGAGAGAACAGAAAATGGGGGAAGGAGGGAGAAAGAAAGAAAGGAAGGAAGGAAGGAAGAAAAAGAAAGAAAGAAGAAAGAAAGAAAGAAAGAAAGAAAGAAAGAAAGAAAGAAAGAAAGAAAGAAAGAAAGAGAAAGAAAAAGAAGGAAAGGAGGGAGGGAGTAATGGAGGGAAGGAGGGAAATAAATTTACTGCAAGCTTTGTTTTCTCCTAGAAAAATGGAAAGATAATGGTTTTTTAAAACTTTACAAGCAGTTTATTCTTACTCTGAGTATCTGAGTCTAAGAAAATGTCAGCTAAAAAAGAGAGTTTCTGAGAAGACTTTGAATTCCAAGAAATTAGGGGAAACATCAAAGAAAGGGAGTCAATTAAAAAGGTTATGACCAAATCCAAGTAAAATTTTCTACCTTGATAATCGATGATAACTGCTTTTTTTTGTTCTTGAAGGTATTTTTATTTTCCGGATCTATTATAACTTCCTAAAGTACAAAATTATCCATTATACTGTGAAAACTAGAAAAGCAAAATGTCTATAAAATAGGAATTCCTAGAAATAATTCAGAGTCTTTTAAGGGGCTTTTGATTGAACCAGAGAAAAGAATGTACTTGCTTATTTTAGTTGAAGGGCAGAGCCCCAGAAAAATATCTTTCTATATAGTGTTGGAAATAAATTTGCTTGATGGTCTTATGCAATTTTTATGTCATGATGTGTCATGGAAAAGGAAAAAGGGGGAGGTATAACTATCTCTAGACTTATT